CTTTATTAGGGTTGACTGCACGCATCAAAGTCAGGTGAGTGAGTGGGGAAGAAAGTCCTTGGACCTGTGTGGAGGAGACTCGGAATCAATCCCCTCTCCAGGCCCACATCAGAACCGTGTGGCCAGGGCAGCGCACAATCCTGCTTAGGGTTTGTCTCTTGAACTAAGAAAAGCCTGAAGGACACTGATCCAGGACAGGGAGAGATGGTGTGGGGCAAAGGAAGGGACTGGTTCAGACAGAGAGCGCAGAGCCATTTCCATATTGTTGGTGACTGACGTGCATTAAGCCTTTGCAAGGAACAGGAAATCCAGCATTGCTGTCAGGTGGCCGTACAGCCAGCCCTCCTGATCTAGGAAAGGAAGCCAGATTCCTTGCAAAGGAACAGGAAATCCAGCATTGCTGTTGGGTGGCTATACAGACAGCCCTCCTGATTTAGGAAGGGAAGCTAGATTCATGCTGCTGTTTTCAAATCTCCCATGATCTGTTCTAGGACCCTCCAACACGAGCAGGGATATTACAAGTTGCTTTTAGGCCAGAGTCTCTGACTGCTCATTTACAGGTTGGCATCTACCTCACACTGCTCTCTTCCTGTGAGTTCTGCGGTATTTTGTGTTTGCTCTTCTTTCAAGTGGGTGCACCCTTTCATGTCTCAAGGAACCTATGACCTGCTCTCACTTAGGACAGTGGGACTGCAGGTCAAATATGCTAATTTTCAAGATGACTTGTTCAAAGACACCACTTCTGGGCTTAAAACACCTCACCATCAACCAGGTACTGGGGCGCTCGCCTTTAGTCCAAGAACTTATAGGCAGAGGCACATAGATCTCTGAGGTTGAGGCCAACTTGGTCTACATTGATGGGGAACCTCCTTCAGCCAATGGCTGGACCAGGTGAGGGCATGACTGGGTACCAAAAAGCTGCAGTCCTTCCCTGCTCAGTCTCTTCTTCCTGCAAGCCACACCTGGATGTCGGACCCCATTCCTATTTCCTCACTGTGATCCATGAGTTCCCTTTTAATAATAATAATAAACAAAAAACCCTTAAAATCTCTATTTGAAGTTATCTTGGGATTATCTGACTCGCAACCCCCCTTGACGAGTTCTGCATCATCTGGCATACAATGCGGGGCCAAGTCCATGCTTATCGGGATACCCCACCCCGCGGTGTTCCCCGTTCACCAGCCAGGGCACATTTCTCACCTGCCCGTGGCTCACCTGCCGCTGTTTAGGACTCTGACTCTGCTGACCTGTGGCTCCAGCTGGCACCCAGACTCAGCACACTACTGCAACCTCTCTCGTTCCACCTGCCTCTGCCTAGGACTCTGAATTTCCCCGCAGTCTGCCATTTTTCAGCGGCTCGCAACTGACGAAAAGCCACCATAAAACTCTCTCCCTGTACAGAATCACTTTAACTGTCCTTAATAACTGCTCTTAATTTGTTAAACAAAGCATATTTGTCAGTATCTAAGTAGATAACATGAGCAAAACCAAACCAGGACTGTCTGCCACTGCTTGGGTCTCTCCACCACACAGCTACAATCATGACACTGGCTTGCCAATAAAGATTATTACACCTAGTCACTAAAATTTTCTACAGGGGGTAAGTGATGAATTTAAAAGTTATAAAATGACTGGCAATATTATCATTCAAAAATTTAATAACCATTTTGCTTATGCTACAGAGGGTATTCTACAAGGCTTATGTGATTTTCCTTATATATTCATTTATTTGATTTCAGGAATTAGTTTTGTTTTCCATATTATATCATTAACATTGGTTTAATAACAGGGCCAAGAATGAGGCATTTTTAAAAATAATACAGTTTTTACAGACTAATAATAAATAGCTGTTTAAAATCCTATTAAAAAGAATAACATTAATTTGACAGACAAAATCCAATCAATGTCAAAGGGTGCTGACTCATTATCTAAAAAAAAATTCATGCTGTCAAATTTAGCAATCAAAATCTGTTAAGAAAGTTATGATAGATTAATGGATAAGGTATCTCTCCATAAAGGCAATATACACACCATTAAAATTATGTCCAAGGATGAGACATTATCTTTACTGGACAGATTTCATACCTTGAAATCATCAATGAGGACATTAGAATGGAACACTGGACAGGAGAGTCAGTCTACAAAAGAGTGGTAAAAATATTTAAAACAATTGAGGAGATTATTGTACCTGATGAACATGGAGGGAAGGTACAAAAACAGGACTCAACACGGCCAGTACATATTAGAACCAGAGACAAATTCTTGGTGAGGCACTTATGCTGATCCACATAACCAAGCTCTCTATGATGAACACACCTTGTCCCTAAGCAGCACAACAGCTTTAAATGCTTGGGACAGGATTCAGGAATCAGGAAAGAGAATTGAATGATATATCAGGGTTAAACAGGGCCAGAGAGAACCCTTTAGTGACTTTTTACAAAGATTAACTAAGGCTGTACAAGTAGGAGTAACAGACCCAGATGCTAGATGAGTATTTATCAAATCTATGACTTTTTAAAATGCAAAAAGATACTTGGGCCTTTAAAGATTAGATCAGCACCAATGGATGAATGGATCCTGCATACAATGAATGTTGAGATATTTGACTATAATACTGAGGCTTGGGTAGGAGAAGCAATTTCCAAAGGTATGAGGAGACATCGAAATGCCAAATGCTTTAATTGTGGTAAAAGAGGACATCTGAGAAGGAATTGTAGACAAGAAATTCCTAAAAATAATGTCTTCTCTGAAAATGAGAAAAATAGGCAGTCTCAGCCTTCTAAAATATGTAGGAGGTATGGCAAAGGCTAACATTCAACCAACAAATATAGGTCAACAAAAGACAGACAAGGCAACCCAATATCATCAGAAAACTCCTTGGGGGCCTCTTGCAGGCCCCCATGTCAAACATGGTCCAGTCATTCCTAGTCACTGTAAAAAATATGTCTCACAAAATTTAAAATCTACTGTCTACTGGATAATATTACTCAATTAATATTACCCAAGTAATATTATCTCCCTTCTCAGGCCTTTGATAGCGTTAAAGATTAGATAGATGTAGTTACCTTCCTCTTATAATCTAGCCAAGCCATTTCAAATACAAGACTTAGACTTCTTAGGATAAAATGATTACTGAACCATTTAGCATATGCTCCTTGCTTAATATTGGTTATGATGGTTACAATTCTAATTTTTATACTTGATATCTGTTCTTATTGTATATAGTTTTGTATTGTGTTTGAAACTCTCTTATTTAGACAAAAGGGAGAGGTAATAGAGAACCTCCTTCAGCCAATGGCCTTTGAGAGGTTGGACCAGGTTGGGGCATGTCTTTGGGTACCAAAAAGCTGTGGTCCCATCCCGCTTGGTCTCTTCTTCCCACAAGCCACACCTGGATGTTGGACCCTATTCCTATTTCCTCGCTGTGATCTATGAGTTCCCTTTTAATAATAATTTTTTTAAAAATATTTATTTATTATGTATACAATATTCTGTCTGTGTGTATGCCTGCAGGCCAGAAGAGGGCACCAGACCCCATTACAGATGGTTGTGAACCACCATGTTGTTGCTGGGAATTGAACTCAGGACCTTTGGAAGAGCAGGCAATGCTCTTAACCTCTGAGCCATCTCTCCAGCCCCTTAATAATAATTTTTTTTAAAAAAAACTTAAAATACTCTATTAGAAGTTAGCTTGGAGCTATTTGACTCACATTTTCCCTATTTGGCGCATTCTGCATCACTACATAGTGTGTTCCAGGCTATCTTGGTCTACATAGTGACTTCCAAGCCAGCCAGGGCTGCATAGACAGACCCTGTCTCAAAACAAAGCAAAACCAAACAAAAAAAGTCTCATGAGAGATGGCTCACTAGTTAAGAGCACTGACTGCTTTTTCTGAGGACCTGGGTTCAATTCCCAGCATCCACATGGTGGCTAACAACCATCTATAACTCCTGTTCCAGGGGATGCAACGCTGTCTTCTGGTCTTCTGGGCACCAGGCATGTATGTGGGTCACAGACATACAGGAATGTAAAATATGCATAAATTAAAAAAATTAAAACCCACAGCATCAAATGGTTAAAATGGATGCAGAATCTGTATACAATAATAGTCACCATCTAATTGTGTGTCCACGCCCTCTTCTCTCCTTCAAAACACTCTTCTAGAACACAGCTCCAGACCTTGCTTACAACCCAGTTCTCGTTCCCTCCTACTTTCCTGAAGTGGACAAGGTCCAAGAAAATGGAGGCACCAGGCTGGGTGTAGAGTGACCCTGTAATCTCAGCACTTGGGTAGTAGCTGGAGGATCGGGAGTTCAAGATCAGCCTCAGCTACATATACGGAGCTTGAAGTCAGCCTGGGCTTCCTGAGACCCTATCCTTACAAAGAAAAAAAGACTAAGGCACTAGTCAAGAAACACAATATCACCTCAAGTCCTGGGTCAGTCCATCATCGGTCACCAAACATTCATCAATACAAATGCTATATGGCTGGGGGAAATGGCACACAGCTTTCCTTAATCCCAGACTCAGGAGGAGAGATCTGGAAATCCGAGGCCAGCCTGGTTATGAATCAATCTGCAGACCTTCCAGAGATACGTAGTGAGATTCTAGCTCAAGAAAGAAAGAAAGAAAGAAAGAAAGAGAGAGAGAGAAAGAAAGAGAGACAGAGATGCTTCTGTTTCCTCAGTGATGGATAGATACCACCATCCTGCAATAAAATCATTTTTTAATTAAGATGTCTCCCTCCTAAGCAGAGAAAAGCAGCCCTAGCTGAGGCACCTGGGAGCAGCTATGGATCTGAATTGGTGTGATGATGGCTCTTGGGAACCATCTATTGGTGACCGAAGTGTGACGGCCACAGACAATGAGTTTGAAGCCAGAATGGTTTTGGACCAGTCCTGGGTCAGGGGAGGAACAGAACACTCTTTGGAGTGCTTGTACACACACACACACACACACACACACACACACACACACACACCCTAACCATGTTGCTTACCTGTCCTCAAAGCACACTGTGCACTTCCATGCATGAGTCCTCCGCAGGAATACGCGGCACTCGGAGCACACCCGGTGGCTGCAGCCCTGGCACACGGCCCCACGGTTCAGCAGCAGGCCCAGAGCCCGCTGGCAGCGTGCACAGCACTTGGCCCTGTATTCCTGGCTCGAGCTCTTCGCCCCCTTCCACCGAAGATGCTGCAGGTGCGTTTTCAATTTCCTGTGATCCAATGAGTTGAATAACGATTGGGTGGTATAATGGTTTGCTTTACCTGCTACATGGCGCCACCTTGAATCTTTGTGGGAAGAGCCTCCACAAAGATTGTCTACATTGAGTTGACCTGTGGACATATCTGTGGGGGATTGTCTTAAGTTAACTGATGTGGAAAAAGCCAGCCCTCTGTGGGCAGCACCATCCCCTAGGCAGGGGCAAACTATGAGAATGGCGAGATGGAGCTGGGTAAGCACACGCACACTCCGCTCCTGGCTGTGTACGTCACTAACTGTTTGAAGTTCCTACCTGGACTTCCCCACAATAATGGGTGGTAACCTGAAATCATAAGAAAAGATAAACCTCTTTCTCCCCGAAACTGCTTTTTGTCAGGGTAATTTATCTTAGCAACATAAAGAAGACTAAGCCAGACACAGTGCTAGACAGCCGACTAGAGGCGGGAGCTCCCACAGACCACCACATAAGGCTGCCCGAGCTGGCCTTTCTCCTCAGCTGCTAAGCCTAGGCCCAGGGTTTTCTGTGAAGCAATGCCTGGTCTCCCAGGATGGCTGTGAGGATCACGTGACACAACACTGCATGCCTAAGTCAGAGGCGGATCACACTCTGCTCATCCTTCCTGATAGAGCCTTCTCACCAGCACCCAGGAACTCTGTTACTCCAGTACTGTCTCTTTATTACCAAAGAGATTTAAATCACCCCCTCAGCCTATTGTTATTTCAATGAATTAGAGTTTGCAAGTATATTTAAGGGGCTTTGAAACGAAGGAGGGACCAGGCGGGGTGACACACCCCTCTAATCCCAGCATTTGGGACAGAGGAGGACACCAAGGCAGGCAGATCTCTGTGAGTTCAAAGTCAGCCTGGTCTAGGCAGGGAATTCCAGGACAGCCAAGGCGATTGGGAGAGAGCTTGTCTCAGATAGATAAACAAATGAATGGATAAATAAAAGAAATAGAGGAACAAGGAAAAAGAACTTTGTATCTTTGCTTAACCAAACAATTTCCCTCACTCTTCAAAAATTTTGTTTTCTATGTATGGCTTTGATTTTTGCACACATGGGTTGTTTTTGCCTGCATGTACGTCAGAGCATCTTGTTCATGCAGTGCCTGTGGCAGCCAGCAGAGGGCATCGGGTTCCCCTGGGACTGGAGTTACAGGATTGTGAACTACCATATGGGTCCTCTGGAAGAGCAACCAGTGCTCTTAACTGCTGAGCCACGTCTCCAGTGACTCTGAAAAAGTTCTAGTAAGAACCCTGGCTTGCTCCCCTCGTTGGTACCAGGATCGACTCTGGAGTTTCTTACATGCTCAGCAGGGCTCAACCGTTCATCTGCTTACTTTCAAACAGGCCTGAGAGCTAAAAGGTGATCTTGAACTTTTTTTAAATTAAAAAATATTTAGCTTTCTTTCAATTTTATGTGTATGTTTTGTCTATGCATATATGTGCACCACATGAGTGCCTGGTTCCCACAGAGGTCAGAGAGGGCACTGGGTCACCCTGAAACTGGAGTAAGAGGTGGTTGTGGGCGACCATGCCGATGCTGGGAATTGAACCCAGGGTCTTAGGCAAGATGAAAAAGTGCCCTTAGCTGCTGAGGCATCTCCTGAGCCCTGACCTTGCACCCCTAATCCTCCTGTTTCTACCTCCCAGGTACGGAGATTTCAGGTGTGCCATGAACCGAAAAACAAGCCTTGTATTTACAGAGGGAACCTTCCAGCTAACAGTGTGCCGTTCTGCTACCCAGAGCCGCCAGTAAATGCAACCTCAGACCAAACAGCCAGGCCAGAAAAAGAAGCTCCTGTTGATAAAGCGGTCAGGGAACAGGCTGAGCAGGTTCACCTTTCCTTCTTCCAAGCCAGCTGCAGGCAAAAGTGAACAAAGAGAAAAGACAGAAATGGATTCCTCCGGTTCTGTTTCTGAGCCTCCTCCTTTGTACCTCCAGCTACCACAGAAAACAAGCGTGGGCGGGGGGGGGGGGGGGGGGGGGCGGCACTCTGAACTGGAAGTTTGCACTGTCGGGGGGGGGGGGGGGTGTCTGCCAGAAGACTGTCGGTGTCCCACTGGGTACCCTCATAAAGTGGGCAAGTGCACAAAGAACAAATATCACAAAGGCACCCTTTCCAAAGAATCGTGAAGTTAATTTAGGTCCATTTAGAAAATAATCCCCATCTCCACACCTTCACTGGGACCCTTCTGGGTTAGAAGTTCAGCCCTGAGCAAGCTGTCACAAGCAATCCAACAAGCCATGGCTCCAAACAGAAAAAGCCAAGCCCCATAGGACGGCCCCAGGTCGGAGTGCAACTTACCGGACCCTTTCCTCCTCTATGCTTTGAACAGCCCGATCTCGGTATAGGACCCCGAGAATGACCTCCCGTTCCAACTCCTTGAAGGACTCCAGGTCCACTTCATGGGCCATTTCCTCTCCCCACGACGGAAGGAAGAGATCCACGGTCCCGCGGAGAAGCCCGAGTCCAGCTGCTTCCCTCGATCCTGCAGGAGCCCCTCTCTGGTTTCACCAGGGACCGTGTTTGGTTTGTGACTCTTGTTTCCTTCCTAACTGTACCATACTCCCTCCAAGAAGCAAGCTCCACGAGGCTGCCCCGCTGCCGGAGGCACCTCCACCCGGCCAGTGTTTTCACTGGGCTCACTGATGACACAAGAGCGTATCTTGTTCTGAGGTTTTGCCAGAGATTGTTATAAATGATGCATGGCTGCTAAGCAGATGACTTCTGCAAAGCACAAGTAATCGCCAGGCCGAGGAAGTTCACAGACAGCAGCCGGAGAGCACCAAAGATTTATGGCAACAAACTTTCCCCAGGAAAACGCGTCCAGGTCCGCAGAAGCGACAATCAAAAGTCCAGCCTGTTTAATGCCTGAAAACCTGTTTAAAAGACAGAGAACAAACGAGACCAGCGTTAGTCTCCCTGGCTTGGCAGCCCTGCTACAACACTACGGAAGAGAGAACACGTTTTTAAGCTGTGATTCAAACATTATTAAAGAAGGCATTTTTCCAACATTTCTTACAGTTTCCACACTTGGGTTTTCCTACCAAGAATTCTGGATCTTCAGCTGGGAGGGGACAAAGAGCCCAGTCTGATGTCCCGAGAGGTGAGCTGTTTAGCCATTCTGTCACCACAAACATTGGAGTTCACCAGTTTTGTTACATAGACCCAGGTGGTCTAGCCTGCTGCACAGCAGGGCATGTGTATGTATATATGATATAGCCCACTGCCCCTGGGGCGACGAACAAAACCACACAAGATTAGATCAAGCCCGAGAGCAGATGATGCCACCAGAGGTGGGAAGGAATTGGTGCCCGAGCAACAAAACACAGCAGCCTACTTGGCGGCGAGTGTCTTTTAAAAGCAGAAGACAAACACGAGAAAACACATTTTAAAATATGGAGGCTACAGAATTTGCTACGATGGCGAACTGTTTCCTTGGAAGAAGGAGAACCCGAGTTCAATACCAGAACCCAAGTAAAAATGCTGGACGTGGAGGCACGCATTGTAATCCAAGTGTTGGGGAGGCGGAGACAGGAAGGGCCCTGTCTTTAAAATAAAAAATCAAGGTGGGTGGTCTGAGGAACAACAGCTGGGGCCTTCATCTGGCTTCTGTTTGCATGAGCACACATATGTACTTGTACATACATGAGCAAATACACATATCACACACACACACTAAACATTGTGGTGTGATAGGGCTGCAGAGGTGGCTCAGTGGTTGAGAGTACTTGTTACTCTCCAGAGGACCCGTTTGGTTCCCAGAACCTCCACTGGACAGCTTACTGGGCAGTCACAAGGGCCTGTAACTCCAGCTCCAAGGAACAGAGAGCTTGGGCACTACATTCCCAAGCACAAATACGCACTCACACACAATTAAAAGGTTTTTTTATATTTATTTATTTATTTATTATGTATACAATATTCTGTCTGTGTGTATGCCTGCAGGCCAGAAGAGGGGACCAGACCCCATTACAGATGGTTGTGAGCCACCATGTGGTTGCTGGGAATTGAACTCAGGACCTTTGGAAGAGCAGGCAATGCTCTTAACCTCTGAGCCATCTCTCCAGCCCCCACACAATTAAAAGTTAAAAAATACTATGTTCAACGCACAAACATGTACCATGGTCATTTATCAAGTATCGTTCACACACACATAGTCTGTTCTATCCCAGTCATGTTTGTATCCAAACCACCACAAACAGGCAGAACAAGGCACGAATTTCCCATCTCTGAAATAATCTTACGGGACCATTATGTTATACAGCTGTTGACTGAAGCATCTTTATGAAGCACGTGACCACCTTTAACCATCTTAATTGAAAATACATTAGAGAAAGGGCGTCCGCAGTCATTGGCTATTATTTTTACAAGTATCGTCAAAACTCAAAAAAATGTAATCAATTAGGGAAAAGTACATACCCACAGCAAACTCAACTTATCAATTATTTATGTCCAGTAATAGCACTGTGAGCATCGCTAGGCATCGGGCTAACGTTAGGTTTCTGTTTAGTTCAAGTCAGAAGATTCTGCATGCACCCATCTGTCAAGAGCATGTGGATGCTTCAAGCAGCACACTTTCTGTAATGCCATTTTGATTTTCCAGCCTAGTGGACCCCTTAGGAATAAGGAGTCCTCTCGGTACTTTGGCAGCTACACTCCTTTGGAGTCCGTGAATGATGAGCAACCAATCCTAGGGCATCGTTCTCTTTCAGCAAATGCTCCTAGCTCTTTTCTCTATTTGCAGTCTGGGAGGTCTGTGCATTTCAATGCATACCATAAAGTATATCAGGTTATAAAAACAATTGATCACACCAGACTATTTAAAAATTGTTACATAGTAGCATGTGTGTTCATTGATACACGAGATATCTAAGATCTGGCAGGTATTTAATGGCTATCATAACGTCAATGTGCCAGTGATATAAACAATGCTTTGAGATATCCACGGCACACGATATCATAGGAAAATGCTTGTGATTTCTATTGGGAACAAGGTTACAGATGTGGCTGATTTTATCTTAGTTTCTACTTAGGTTCACAATCGAAGGAAATGCTAAACTTTAGTTAAAGATTAGTGGAACTAGTGTCTGGAGTAGTTTCTTAGAGGTAGAAGCACTGGCTGCTCTTCCATTGATCAGAGTTCAATTCCAACACCCACATAAGGGCTTATGACCAATCCCAGGGGATGCAGTGCCCTCTTCTGGCCTCTGAGAGCACCAGACACCAGCGTGTGCAACTATACCCATAGACTATAATAAGACAAAACACATTTTAAAAAAGATTAAAAAAGACCAAGATCTGCGGCCTGAGAGACTCTGAATCTGTTGGTTTGTCCACTGTAAAATAAAATTATCATAACAGTTGTGGGGTTGCATGAACGGGAAACGTTAGAGGTCTGAAAAGGGGTTCTTGGCCTCTGGTCCCCAGTAAAGAACCCTGAGGTACCTTGTCTTAGTCAGGGTGTCTACTGCTGTGAAGAGACACCATGACCATGGCAGCTCTTCTAAGGAAAAACATTTAATTGGGGTGGCTTGCTTATGGTTTCAGAAATTTAGTCCATTGTCGTCATGGGAGGGAGCATGACAGCACACAGGCAGATGTGGTTCTGGAGGAGTACCCGAGAGTCCTACATCTTGCAGGCAGCCGGAAATGGCCTGAGACACTGAGAGATGTCCTGAGGATAGGAAACCTTGAAGCCCGCCCCCACAGCGCTCTAAGGAGCACGCTAATATTCGCCTCACCAGCACCCATGTGTCACCAGCTCCCCAGGCGTAACCCCCTGGGCTCACGGCAGGCTGTCTTCTCATTGGCACTTCTAGTTAACACACTGCTGAGTCGAGCACTGTTTTGTTTGATTCTCAGCGATTTTAAATGAATGTTTTGCACCCAGCTAAAACACTGAATGCGAACAGTTGTCTCTTCCCAGTGGGATATACTCTTCTCCAGCTTCTCAGCAAAGCAGGGCCCCAGTGAGTGCCATCTTGGAAGAATGATGGCAGGGTTTCCCAGTAGAGTTTCCACAGGAGGAACCCTGGTATCCTCAGGGCTCACTCAGTCGTGTGTGATTCAGCAATACAGCTATCTACAAAACACTATTCCATCCCCGTTCTGGACCAGCATCAAGAAGTGGGATCCCTGTCCAAGAAGAAGGCGAACTCTGGCACCCCCTTGTGGCAGAAGAGTGGGGTTCATCCTTGGGTATTCTGGAACATCTTCCAAGAGTATGGCACTATTCTGGGTGCCTCCACTTGCTATGTATACCCTTCCTATGACGGGATTATAAAAAAGCATATAAAGAAGAGAATAAATTCAGAGAGATGTCAAGAGCAAGAAAAAGGGGCTGGAATTTTTGCCAGGAAGCTGGAATGAAACGACTTTTATGTCCTTCAGCATCAAATAGACTTCTAACCTTCCTAGTCCCCAAGGCAAAGCAACACGGTAGAAAATCCAGAGGGTGCACAGAGTTCTAACAAACGGAAAGAAATGCAGAAGGGCATCCTCAAGCTGGAGCACCGGGACACCGATCACGTCAGCAGCACTTTGGAACCCCCTGAGGAATGTAATCCACGGTTCAATGCTACATGAACTCAAAGCCGAGGATGTAACACCAGGTTTTAAATCACTGAAAAAATTTCAAGCCTAGGCCACACACTTTTTGGTTTTCCAAGAAGACACAGATGAAATGGTCGTCTAAGTCCAGGTGTGGGCCTTCCAAATCCATGTCCCTGTGGTTAGTCTCGACTCGTGAGGACCCAGATCCCAGCTTCTCGATACATTCAGCTAAATGGGAGACTTTATTTTCATTTTGTAAAATTTTAGTGTGTCAGGTACTTGATCAGCACAGAGTGTAAGTAAAGCCTTCTGTTGTTTGAGACATATATTGTTTTCTTTTTTCTTTTTCTTTCTTTCTTTTCTTTTTTTATTTTTATTTATTTATTTTTTCCTTAGAGGGCTGTTCTGGCTAGTTTTATTCCAACTTGACACAAGCTGGATTCATCTGAAAGGAGGGAACCTCAATTGAGACTATGCCTCCATAAGATCTGACTGTAGGGCATTTTCTTCATCACTGATTGAAGAGGAAGTCCCTAGCCCATTCTGGGTGGTGCCATCCCTGGGCTGATAGTCTTGGGTCTATAAGGAAGCAGGGTGAGCAAACCATGGTGAGAAAACCAGTAAGCAGCACCCTCCATGGCCTCTGCATCAGCTCCTGCCTCCAGGTTCCTGCTCTGTTTGAGTTCCTGTCCTGACTCCCTTCCTTGATGGACTACAATGTAGAAGTGTAAGCCAAATAAACCCTTTCCTCCTCAAGTTGGTTTTTGGTCAAAGTATTTTTGCAGCAATAGAAATCCAAATTAAGACAGGACCTACTTCAAGGGGGAAAAAAAAAACTTTCAAAATAGCGACACAAACA